CGCCCCCTTTCAAGTGGCACCTAGGGTATGTGCCATACCTTAGGTACACCACTGATCTCTCCAGAACAGAAATAACACCAAAAAGAGAAAGTGAAGAAGGAGATGTGTGTGAAAAGGGATGACCATATTCCCCTGCCATGGAATAAGAAATGAGGAAAGACTAGCCAGGACAAAGAAGAAGAGAAGAGCAGTAATGAGAAAGCAGGAGGAAACAAGGGTGTAAAAGCTGGCTTTCAATATGACCCATAAAAATGTTGGCACAATTGGGAGCCATTTTGGTACCCATTGCAGCACCGTTAACCTGAAGGTTATGTTTGTTATTGAATTTGAAGTTGTTCAATGTTAAAACAAGGCTGGCAAGATCAGTTACTGTTGGAGATTTTGATGGGTTAGAAAGGTTTAATGCATACTTTAGGGTTTCTTTTACAACTAAGCCCTGTAAAAACCTCATAAATGGAAACATTACATAGATGACATACTTTTCATTTGTCAGCCTGTCTTGAACCACTGAAAGAATTTGTCTCATATGCAAACTCCTTTCATAAAATAATCAAGTTTACTTTTGATTACTTGCCTACCCAAATTAACTTTCTTGGCATCACTGTCCTTATAAATGATGGAATTTTACATACCAACTCATACCAAAAACCTACAGACAAGCCAAAATACATTCACTATAAAAGCTGTCACTCTGCTCACACTAAACAGAGCATTACCTACAGTTAAGCTCTTAGAATAAAGAAAATATGCTCAGGTGAAACAGACTACAGAAATCACAACAAGGACCTTAAGCAAATCATGTTACAAAGAGGATATAAAGATACCAAAATCAACAGACAGATCAACAAGGCTAACAACACTCAGCAAAAAAACATCCTAAAACAGAGCAATACTAAAGATTCAAATAGAATTCCTCTTATTATTATTACCTATCAGTTTTAACTCAAAACATTTTCATCTCTTACAACTTAATGATCGCCTTAAACAGATATTTCCTCAAGTTCCTGTTGTCTCCTTCCAAAAAAGCTGAAATCTAAACGATATCCTTCTTCACACAAAAGTGAATTACATCCCATCAAAAAAATGGTTGTCATCCATGCAATAAAGCTCATTGCCAAACTGCAAGTTCATAAAAACTACTGACTCATTTTCTGACAAGCACAACCAAAGAAACTTTCAAATCTCCAAAGAAATCACTTGTATGACACAAAACACTATTTACTTTATACAGTGAAAAAATGCAAACACCAATATGTAGGACATACACAAACAACTTTTAGATAATGTTTCGACAACCATAAATCTTCTATTAATATGAAAAGGATCTCCCTGTTGCTCAACTCTTTAACCAACCCGGTCATTCCATTAACAATGTTACTTTCATTGGCATTGAAACAGGATTCAAAACTAAAGCTGATAGAGAGATAAAAGAAGCTTATTGGATCGCTAATCTAAACACTGTTTAACCTTGTGGAATCAATCTAGATCCTGAAATCAGTGATCTCCAATCCTTGGTTTCATCTCTGTCAGAAAAATAATTTTTATTCTTTGCTTATTTCTTTCATGTAGCATGAACTCTAATTTTTCTAAAACTTACTGTATATTTAAGATAATTTTCCATACCTGTTTATATAAATCAATTAGCTTAACATCTCTTTTTCAATCAGTCTCCAGATGCCACCATTAGTTTACATAAACACTTAAGTATAGTTTTATATATTTCTTTTATAACTATTTCTAAAGCAAAATATCCCTAACACCTTTTTACATAACTCTCTCATTGCTGGCCATATTGTACCAGAAGTGGAACACATTTACAACAGTACATTGAAAAATATAATAAACACTACCTGGAAGCCCAATTGAGTTCATTACTTCACTCAACTCCCTTTACGTATCACTCAATTGATTACACCACCATTCCCAGTTTGTCCCTGTTGAAGAAGGGTCCACCTTTCAAACGTGCTTGGGTTATAGGGTTTTTATCATTTTGTATCAAAATAATGAATGCTGAATGAATATAGTACTCACTTCAACAAAAATTAACAATAATGGACCTCAAAAAGAAAAATGCAAAGATACAAACAGCCACTTGCATTTTTTCAGTAAAATATGGTAAAATGTGCATTATATAATGTATGGTTTGTGACATGCATGATTTCTCAATAATGAGAAAATAAGAAAAAATTAACAACCATAAATATATATGTGTGTCTGTGAATGTATTCCAGCAGGAAAGGTACCAGTAAATACAAAAGTTGTGGTCACACAAATATGGGGATACACCATTTATAGTATTTAACCTCTATCTGACAGGTTTACACTGAACATGTGAAATGAAACTGAAACAAAAAAATTAAACTTTAATAATTGGAGTAGATATGTGTGCTACAACTATCCACCAGACACAAAATACAATGTTGTTTTTTGTTACATTCAGTAGTTATTATTTTCCTTAATGATCCCATTATTGTGTAAATGAGTGAAAAATAAATTTTTCTTTCACTAAATCAAAGTAAAACTTTAAGAAGCTTAATCCTGAAACATACAGTGAAATCTGGAAAGAGAATTCAAAGAAATATTTGATTTAACTTGGATGCATTTATTAACTTAGGTAAAGTTCTAAAATTACTATATACAAATTTCATTATTTACCTTTTTTACTGCAACTATACATCCTGTTTCAATGTCTTTTGCTTTGTACACTGTAGCAAACTAGAAAACAAAAAAATGAACTTGTATCCAAACAACAACTAAAGTTTTCAACAAACTCTTTATTTGTATTCTAGATATTCTCAAAATCTTAAACTATTCTAATTTCTATAAATAACACGGACATGTCTCACTAGCTTGTAAAGAACTTAAGAAGTAAAATTCAAATATTTCAAACATATCTTTGAAAATTTACAATGCATAATTTATAATTTTCTATACTGAAAATGTATTTCCAAAAGGTACTTACCTCCACTAACAGATATAGCTATTCTTGTTCAGTGCTGCCCTTTATATCAACATTTTTTTTGCATGCCACAAGTCTTGAGCTCCCACGTACCGCACGATCAACCTGGTTCAACTGCGTCTTGCATGTAAATCATCATGTGACAACCCTCCACCAATAGGAGTGTGACACATCCTCCTGATGCATGTGACCCCCTCTATTCAATTCTACTGAACTATCTCTTCAAGTTTTGGCAGAAAATGGAAGCACTAGTTTTCAACGGGGAGGAATGGTGGGAAGTGTGAGTAGAGGTAAGTAACTATCGGAAATATATTTTCAGTGTAGAAAAATTATAACTTCCGATTGGTAAATTACCTCCTCTCACAGATATAGCTAGAATCCCACATTGAATAGGTGGAAGGGCCGGTGCAAGGGAAAGAAAAAAGAACCCTCTGAAAGCAAACATGGGCAGAAAATTGGAGGAGCACATCCACAGGGAAGATAACAATGGTTGGATAGGGATCCGAACCACCTGATAATGTAATCTCAATCCCTTTGTTGACAGTAATGTGGGTGTGTATAAAAGGATGTGCCCCAAGGCACAGAGTGGCCAGGGCCTGGTGGATCACACATGGCAAGTCAACTGCATCCAAAACTCAGCCACCGAGAACCAACATCCATGTGGGGGTAGGATGACGATCAAACTGTCAGTAAGTCAACTACAATTCAAAACCCAGCCACGGGGAACTGACATTCATGTAGGGGTAGGAAAGAGTATCATACTATCAGCAAGTCGACTACAATCCAAAACCCAACCACCAGGAACCATCATCCATGTGGGAGTAGGAAAGAGAATCATACCGTCTTCACTTCAAGTTCAGCAAACCAGAGGGTGGTAACATACCCAATGATCTGTGAACAAGGCACACAATAGAAAAGTGACAAATTGTTGTACCAATCTGAAAACCCAACATCCACTTAATTGAAATAATAAAGATATCCCACTGTTGTAAAATATCCCACTCAAAACCAATCAAACAGAAGACACCCTCAGTATAGTAACATCCTCAGTATATGTAAATCTTCGAACGATAATGCAAGAGGAAGAACCATAGGAACCAGCATGTTCATTTACCATGATCCACACACAGTAGCAGAGCTATCTGTAATATGTGTGTAAGGACTTATGTGGATTGGTCCAACTCTGAATCCAAAACCCAGCCACTTGGAACCAACATCCATGTGGAGGTGGGATGAGGGATCCCAATCGAAGGGGTGAACTGCAATTTAGATGGCTCACTCCATAGTTACAACACCCCCATGGATTCCTCATAGGTTGCATCATATATATATCACATTCAGGAAGATGCCTCCATGGTCTATCACCCCAGTGGCTTGAAACTGATAAGGGCTCCCATACTCCACTGAAAGAAACAGCAGACCATTCCTAATATATTCAGTCTAAGGAATGGCAGGGATGGGCAGCTATCACCTTTTGCTTTACCCCTGAAGTCCATGGGTTAGTATGGTCCAAAACAGGCATATTAAAGAAGCAAATATATCTTAAGGAAAACCTAAGAGCAATCTTGTGGAATACCCAATCTCAACAGTGTGCAGCCATGGAAATTATAACTGTTAAGTTAACATGGCCTGACAGTTGTGTATTGCACTAATTTAAGTATACCTGTACAGGCACCACTTGTCACAGAGCAGGTTCCTGCTTGAAAAAAGGGTCATGCCCCTGAAAAATAAGAGGTATATATATAGAGAGAGAAAAAAATAAACTACCCAGTCACAGTCTCACTGAAATCTAAAGAATGGCAACAAGTGGAAGACAATAACCGGATGAGGAAAAAACAGCTATCCAATGCAGATAGTGAGAGATGAATGTATGCAGTGTGGTTCACATGCTCAATTGAAGAATTACCTCCAATGGATGATGGAGATGTCACCAGGGAAAAGGAAAGGTGGCTAATCTGGTGAGAAGACACCTGGAACAAATTATGGGAAGAAAGAGACAAGGAAGAATAAGCCAATCAAATTAAAAGACGAACCCAACTGTTAAGGGTGGGAGGAGAAAGGTCACAAACAGAGGATAATTGCCATGGAATGAAGAGTGAGGAACAAGCACCACGGAAAGATTGTGCAAGATAACAACAAAAAATACTTATGGGACATAGTAGGCTTTCCACATCAGATCAGGAATATATATGTAATAAAGGGAAATTGGAGAGAAGGAGGAATTACCCTCACAAGCTGCCAAAGTTTTGGGAAGGAAAGATCAATCCAGATAAAGGAAAACATAGGTGGATCAATAGGGAGAAAGAAATAAGTTTTAAGGGATAAGTGAAAAATCGAACAAGAGGACAGAGATTCAGAAAGACTACTTGCTGAGAAGGTGGACCAATCTGGAAGGAATGTAACAACAGGGAGAGGTACCATGCAAAATGAAAAGTGTGGAATAAGGCAACCCAATAACCTGTGATCGAGGAAACCAATATCCCCTAATCCCAAATGAGGAAATCCATAAGAGGAACAGTGAGTCAAGCAAGTGAAAAAAAAAACCACCCAACTATCAATGGCAGAATTGATAAACATCCATAGAGGAAGGGCGAATAGGACGTGTTAAAAATGAAACGACTTGCCCACACTGGACTGGAACCCACCAGGTAGTCACCAGTATTGTTGGTGACATGCCCATCTGTGTCGAATAATACAACGTGTGGAGGAACCCCTAGAGGTTGGGACTGGTAAGGGCTGGGACAAGAAACAGTAATAGGGGACTGTCAAGGATCTGAATGAGATAAACAATCAATCAATAATAAATGGGTCAATTGCTCTCTCATTGATTCCACATGGGATTCTAAAGTGTCTGGAATACCACTGAAAATAGACCAGTGGAGAAAATGGGCCACTCTTAAGTCCCGAATATAAGTAGGTGTAAACAAACTTCAGACAATACAGCATCTCCCCTCAGATGATCCCAAAAACAGAGAAACCAAGTGTGTAAGGAAACATGGAGGTAATCAGGGAGAGAGTATCCCTCAAAAAAACCCTCAGGATCTTGGTGGATTGCCTCTGAGAGGAGGTGGATAGTGGACAAGTACCATAGGAGAGTCAATAGGGTAAGACAAATGTGGACAAACTGGACATGGGATAAATGAACAGGATGATCAGGGTCTGCCTCCCGCATGGGCAAAATCAATTCCAACTGTTGTTAATCAAGAAACAGAAATTTAGGCTGATGGTAGACTAAAGCAAACTGATCTGAAGCCCAAGGATAGCGAGGCATGTTAGCACCCTCATGCATCTGTGGTACAAAATGCTCTGCACGAACCCTAATATCCATGGAAGGGGAAAACACAAAATACTGGGAAGAGGGGGTATCATGTAACAAGTAAGGAAGAGGATTATCAGAAATCATGTCCAAAAAGACCATATTAGGCCTAGCTGATTCTGCACTAGGGGCATAGGAAGACACAGCAAAAACAAGTGGAAGAAAAAGGCTGTCAAATTCCTTGTCGTCACAAACAGGTTCAGTATTTTGGATGAAAATGGGCAACATCAGGAGAAGATCTGTTTGTCTGAAGTTGAGTATAAAGCTACACAATGGGCTATCTGTGCTCTGCCCACCACGGGTATCGTAAACCCAGTTTCTAGCATTGTAAGTCTGCAGACATACCGCTGTGCCACTGTAGGGGGCTCAGGAGAAAAAGACTGACTCATATAATGATCACTCTCACGTCGAATGAGAGCCAATAATTCCATATACGAGTTCCCTCCACATGCAGCTTATGTAAGTGTTCTGGTAGATGGTATTACCTTTGAAATGATAACTTGGACTTCAGAATTCATTGTTCAAGATGAATGATTAACCACAACAATGTTAGAATAAAGAAATAAAAAATTTGGGAAAAAAATTAGTTATCCTTATGTTATCAAACTTTTGAAGAAAGAAAAGAATTCCATTTCGAAATAAATTACAAAACAGTTCAATAAAAATTTCAAAGAAATTTCACAAAGTTTAAAAAAAAAACATAATTGAAGAGCACAGTGAAAAATGTCTTGACACAAGCACTGCCAAAAGAGTAGTGATAGTTTGGTAGAATCAAATAAATGGAATTACATACAGCAGGGAGAGTATGTCCCCTACTATTGATGGAGGGTTGTTGCATGATGATTTACATGTGCGACACAGTTGAACCATATTGATTGTGTGGCACATGGGAGCTCAAGGCTTGTGGCATGTGAAGAAATTTGTGCAGGAAGAGAGCAGCAATGAATGAGAAGAGTTATATCTGCAAGCAGAGGTAATGTACCATATCAGAAACACCTATTCTTATAATAAATTACTTTTGTGTAAAAAATATCTACACAGGTCAGAGAATAGGAAGCTGTATGCAAAGTATGTTTTACATGCAACCATGTTTTATTTCATATCTTTTATGTTTTGTTATAGTACTTTTAGAATGCTAATACACTTTGGATGAAAAAAAATGTTCTCTTGTCTAATTTATGAAGTATAAAATACAATCACAATTTAATAACCATGAAACTGTAAACCACTGAGGGCATCTACCTCAGTTGTCATTACTAATACATTTGTTCTGTCAACTATTAGTTAATAAGTCATTTCAGGTTATTAGGTAACCATTAGGTGACTTTTAAGTACCGTAGACTAAGCAAGTTTTTATCATCTTTATATATAACATTAATGTTTCTAGGCCTTTAAGTTAGTTAACAAATTATTTCATTTGAATATGAATTGAATACATAT